CCCCCGGGCGCTCCGCCACCGCGGGGAGGCAAGATGAAGGAGGTTTGCAGGATCTGTGCCCGCGAGCTGTGTGGAAACCAGCGGCGCTGGATCTTCCACACTGCGTCCAAGCTCAACCTCCAGGTTCTGCTTTCGCACGTTCTGGGCAAGGACGTCTCCCGCGATGGCAAAGCCGAGTTCGCCTGCAGCAAGTGCGCGTTCATGCTCGATCGGATCTATCGATTCGACACTGTTATTGCCCGGATCGAAGCCCTGTCCATTGAGCGCTTGCAGAAGCTGCTGCTGGAGAAGGACCGCCTCAAGTTCTGCATCGCCAGCATGTATCGGAAGAATAACGACGAGCCAGGCGTGGAGACCAAGGCGGGGAGCGGGACAGTTGACATTTCCGGCTTGCCCGATGTCAGATATTCCGCGCTGCTCCAGGAGGACTTCGCCTACTCAGGATTCGAGTGTTGGGTGGAAAATGAGGACCAGATTCAGGAGCTACACAGCTGCCATGCTTCGGAAGGCCCTGGAAGCCGACCCCGGAGGTGCCGCGGGTGTGCGGCTTTGCGGGTGGCTGACGCCGACTACGAAGCCATTTGTAAGGTGCCTCGAAAGGTGGCCAAGAGTATTTCGGGGGGCCTTTCTACCAGGTGGTCCACCAGCATTTGCACTGAAGAACCAGCATTCTCTGAGGTTGGGCCAACCGATTTAGCAAGCACAAAGGTACCGCAAGACGGAGAAAGCATGGAGGAAGGGACGCCAGGATCCTCGGTGGAGTCTTTGGATGCCAGTGTCCAGGCCAGCCCTCCCCAGCAAAAGGATGAGGAAGCAGAGCGAAGCGCCAAGGAACTTGTCAAGTGCGACTGCTGGGCCGATGAGCAGGCCTCACCGCATATGTGTAGCCACAAACTGGCGCTGGCTCTTAGCGTGATTAAAGGTCTTGATTACAAGCCCCTCCAGAGCCCCCGAGGGAGCAGGCTTCCTATTCCAGTGAAATCCAGCCCACCTGGAGCCAGACCTGGCCAACTCCTGACAGATGGAGTTGGTTCCGGTTTCCTTAACAGGTCTTTGAAACCCCTTGACAAGACACCTGTCATTTATCCCTTGGAGATTTCAGATCTGCAAGAGCTGTGGGATGATCTTTGCGAGGATTATTTGCCACTCCGCTTCCAGGTATACAACGTAGCTGTACGATCCTTTTCTGAGCTATAGCCAGCCAGCCTCAGGCCCCAGGCAATTTCTGTCCGGGCAAAAGTTAATAATAGGCTTTATTTAAAAATTAATAATTGAGCCCATTTTGCTGCACCTTTGGTTTGAGTCTTGTTTAGTAAATGTGATTCACACTCAATTTGCTCTTCACAATTTTTTTTTGTAACTACCTGTTGGCCTTGTCCAACGTAACAAAAATGCATGCCTTTTCAAGCAATAAGATAGGTTCTTAATTCACTCCTTTTCAAGCAATAAGATAGGTTCTTAATTCACTTTACCCTGTTAAAAGACACTTCATTTTATTTCTGCCACCAAAAATGCTTTCCTCTCTCCTCCTGTCCCCCTTCTTATTTTGTTTGATCTTCACTTTTATATTTATAGATGTTTTCTCCTATTCTGTAAGGGAGTTCTCCCCAGAACATTAAGCCTTTCCATCTTGGCTCGGCCACAGATGAGTGAACAGCATAGAAGTTCAGGATAAACCTATTAATCCTCCAATTCTTCAAGGATTTCTTTCTGGGCAGTATTTATTATAAGCTAATAGGTCATTTGAGGACTAATGACGACTTGTACATAAAAGCCTTGGGAATTCAGGTGTTGTTATTTAATATGTTAAGGCAAAAACTTCATAGCCCTATTTCATAATTAAGGAAGGATTCATCCCTTATTGCGTGATAGAGTTTAATCCCTTATACTCTTGAATTTCTTAATGCCTGGAAGTGGCAGCTGATCTTACTTTGTGTTATTCACATCTGCCCAGTTGATTTCATGCCAACCTCTTAAATACAGGAACCTGATGTCTTTTTGTTTCTACAGTAACGTTAGATGCTAGCTTCAGTTCATTGTGAAACATCTGGCACATTCTATTGATCCAGTTTCTGTAGTGATACAATTACACAGGTAGGCAACCTAGAAGATGTGTTTGGAGAGCCTGCTACCAGTCTGTATCATCCCAGAACTTAGAACTCGATAATAAAGGAAATCCTTGTCACTTAAAATTTTTTGAAAAATTCTATACAAAAAATTCCTATCACGTAATAACCTAGCAAAAAACGAGAGAAAAAAAATTTTAAATTTGCATACAATTGTCAGAAACATATGAGTGTTGTGAAAAGTGTATCAGAAAGTTTAAAAATGTATTTTATTTGTATAAAGTATTAAGTAATATGCCTAACTCTTGTCTGCTTATTTTCTTTTCTTTCATTGCAACTTCACAGTTAAACTTGGGCTTCACAGTATTCTGTGACCAGCCAGAAATGTCACAACTTAAACATGGTGTTTGCATATTAGGAGCTGAAAGGAATCTGGTGAGAATGGATGAAAGAAGGTCTCCCACCAGGACACACCCCAAATATGGTCATTATTGTAGAAAGGTGAAGACTTAGACAATTAAAGGCAAAACAGAGGGAGTTCTTTTCTCCACATTAAAATATACTATCTTTTGCTACCTAGACTAAACATTACAAATTGTAAATGTTACAAATTGGGATGGATTTTAAAGATCATTTCACGCAGTCTTTCAATTTAGAGACAATGGAAAACTCATGGTCTCAATAACTTAGCCCGGCGGAGCGTAAGATTCCTAACCGTATTCAGCCATGAGTGTTCCATGTATTAAATCACTTTGCTTGGTGTATATAGAATTAAATTAGCACTGACTCTAAATAAAGAGGTTTCTTTCTATAACCTGAAGATCCTTTGAGTCTTTGAACAGTACTGATCGCCTCTGCTGTTACCTGGCTCCCATTCTTTATAGTCTGTGGGCTAATAAAACATTGAGAGGAGAGAGAAAACAGCCTGCCTGAGGAATGCTGGTGTTTCATTACCTTGTTGCTTTCTCCATTAATTAAGAATGTGGAGAAAATAGATAAGTCTAGGTTCTGAATGTTTGTAAATAAAATGTATATTTTGAACCCCTGGTCTGTTGTTTATGGAGCTGGCTTTTAAGCACCTAAGCCTTCATGCTTTATGGCAAAGCCAGAGCTAAGAGGGACAAAGGCAGGCTGGTTTGTCTGTTTCCCTAACTGAATGTGGGAAAAATAGAAATAAATGTAAGCTATTCTGATAGTTCATTTTTTAGTGTATAGAAAGAAAAAAAAATCATGAACAATCCCTTTATATTACAAATATTAAAAAAACAAAAATGAAACCTCGTATCTTAAAATAGTGAGATTGAGCTGAAGGTCGTTTCCACTCCTTTGTTTGGCCTCCTCCTTACCCCGGTCTCTGCCCTTAGATACCACTGCCAAAACCCCTCCTATTGCTTTTCTTCTTTTCCTTTCTCCTGTTTTCATCCTTCTGTCAAAGAACAGCAACAGTAAAATTCTTTTACTTACTAATGTTCCAGCATTAGGCAAATTGATTTATTTGCCTTCTACAAAATTTTTGCCAGAAGGCCCAGGTTTGTTCAGATAGCCAAGACAGTTTTGACATGTTTTTCTACATGGTGATTTCCTTCTTATCCATCTCCCCCTGAGCCAGGAACGCTATGCCGGGAGGGGTGTGGTCCCTTAGTAAACAGTTCACTTCTGGCCATGTGCATTTCCCTTCCCATCTGAATTCAGGGAGCCAGAGATCTTGGCTTCGAGCCTGGCAGCCCAGGGTCTGCGCCTGCGTGGCTACAGTGACCACATCCCTCTCTCAGCCCAGCTACAGAACCTAGACGAGGCTTTGAAAGCTGCAGGGATTAGATGCTCATCATAAACTAGACTCTACTTTTATACCAGTTGATAGTTCCTATGTGTCTCCTGTTGTTAACAGTAGGGTAGAAAATTCCAGCAGTGTGAGATCTATGACTTGCTTTTGTGAGAATCAGAAAAATGCTGTTAACCCAGAAAATCTAAATGAGCACCTTTTAGCTAAAAGACCTAATTTTATGCAAAATTAGGCCTGGGTGCAGTTCTCTTTTCTGATGCTGGGAAACATTTGCCCTAACTGAATCAAAAGTGACTTATTTTCAAATTGCATTATTATTGTAGTGGGACTTAGCAGGTGATAGTCTAGAGGTTAACACTGTTTCAACTAAATAAAGCATTAGTGCTTCGGGCCCTGTAAAGTCCTCACAGGACGGGACTGGTTTATGGCCTTGGTACTTCTCAAGAATCATTATGAGCTTTACACTCAATAGAACTTTGCTAGGTGCTCTTGGGACAGACTTATGTGAATGGACATTTATCTGAGGTGTGAAATAATAAAGAAAGAAATCATCTTCCAGCTTTTAGGCCAATGGATTCCAGTTACAGAATTAGAAATGCCGTGATTATTCATGTCACGCTGGGTTCAGGGGTGACCCAGATTCATTCTGTGCCTTCCTGTGGCATGCTTCGGTTTGAAAGCGCTTGTTGAATATTATCAAATATCTGCCCAGTTCTAAGAGTGCCTCTGCAGGACTAGGGTATTGCACCAGGACTTAGACGGCTATTTTATTGTTCTTCTTCACTTGCTAAACATTAACTTGTGGCCCCTACAGCACATCAGGTATGAATGCAGGTTTAGGCCATAACAGCTGGAATGCCCACTTAAGGGTGTTTCCTTTCATTTCCTCATTTCCTGGATGACTTTGGACAATTGTTTACTTCTCCAGGTCTCTGCTTCCTCAAATGTAAGATGGGGCTGGACCAGACTATTCGTTTTATAAAGTCTCCTTCATGGCTCTCAGAGTCTGTGGCTTAAAATAAAGACCCCTCCTTCCCACCACTTTAAATTTGAATTAAATTTAAATTTTCTTTAGTTCTGGCTATAGGTTAAATGCGAAAATAGCTTACAATAGAGGATAGTAAAAAATTGTTTTACATTGAGAAGAGGCCGAGTTTTTTAGAAAGTGCTTTATCAATAACTAAATGATACGATTATTGGAGTGTAAATATGGGCGAGAACAGTTACCTCTTCCATAGTGTGACAGAATTCACGTTGCTTCAGGGCAAGGCTCCTGTTGTACCCAGCAGCCGGCCCCATGTTCCTAGACGTCTTTGCCTTGACCTCTTGCTCTCTGCCCGCTGGTCCCGCGACGCCACTTCTCTCCCTCTCCAGGCGAGGGCTGTGCGCAGGCTCACTACCTTTCCCTCTATCGCTGCAGCGGCTCCTCGCTGGGTTCCCTGTTTCTGCTGGTGTGCCCACAGTGCACTGTGCAGCAAGCAGCACGGTGACTGTTCTCCAGTTTCAGCAGGAACCGCGTCAGCGCCTGGAAACACCGTGGGCCCTTCTCACGCCAGGGAACAGCAGCCCAGCCCCTTAACCCTGCCCCGGCCCTGCTGTGTTTCATCTTCTGTCACCGGCTCCTCTGCCCACGAAGCTCTGGCCTTGCTCTCCAGCAAAGCACCCACCAGCCGGGCCAGTGCTATGTGGCTGTCAGCCCCTGAAAACGGACTAGGCCCATGGCGATCTGCTCAGGGTCAAGCAGAGCCCTGGTCTTGGGGCCTGGTTCTGTCCCAGGGTTCCTGTCTGCCCTGGTCTGTCCACTGGCTGCTCGCGTCTCCATCCATCCTGTAGGTCTCTGCGGGCCTGGCTCCTGGCACAGGCCTCAGCGAGCTCCCACTGCTGAAGTGATTCAGAGTAACATCACTTTCTCTGCTTCCCTTTCTGACTACTTAGGCCTGGCCACAGTCCGCTACTTTGTGTATTCCTTCCTGCTTGTAGTATGTGTCTCTGCGGACCTCCTGCCCCCCCTCCCCCCCACAGAACACCCTGCATGCTGTGGTGCTTACTAAATGTTAGGAAAGTGGATAAAGAACACTGGAGGAATAGAACAGGCTTTTCTTCCCAAATCTTTACATTTCCAGGTGGTTGCTGCTAGGAAGAGATTGGTTCTCTCCACTGCCTGGAAGGCAATCCTAATGGATTGAAAATTTTCCTAATTGGAGTGAGTTTGGGGTAGGGGTGGAAGAAGGAGGTTTAATGCTACTGTGAAGTTCTACTGTAGTATCATTAGTTCTAATGACTTAGGTACAATTCAATAAGCTTATCTTAGCTTGGTGATCCCATAAATAGTGTTTTTTTCCAGTGAAATTTTCCAATAAAATACTATCCTAGAAAACACACCCCAGTTCCATTCACTATGAATCTTTATTTGGCCTTTTATTTTGAAATAATTTCGAGTTTACAGACAAGTCCGGAGTGCAGAGAAGCCTCAGGTCCACCCGCTGCTGCTGTTTGCCAGGTCCCGCCTGTTCGAACATTTTCACCTTGAGCTTTGTCATTCCCATTGACTATAAAAATAATATATTTTTAATTCCTGTACTGTTTGGGAGTAGTTGCAAATATTTTGCCTCTTGGTACTCAATACCTCAGTCTGTATCTCCTAAGATCTGGACAGCTCTGATTTAGCAGTGCTCCGTAATGATGAAATTCTCTGCACTACTGTAATAGTCCTTATTCAAAATCTGCCAGTTTCTCCAATCGCATGACTCGGGATGTTGGAAGAAAGGAAATTGAAATCCAACTTCTCCTCTCTTGGGGTGGTTTTTTGATTAGTATTCCCCAATGGAAATAGGAGGATGTGACTATTTGATTATAATAAACATTTTATTTGATAATCATCTCTTTAAACTGGATTAGTTGCTCCATCTGACTAGGTAGTGGCTTGAATTCATGGGAACAGGTGGGGAGGGTGGAGCTGCCAGGGAGTGTGTGAACCCTGAGTGCGTACAACTCTGGTTTTCTAAATCTCTGGCAAAAAGTGCCAAAGATATGCAAAGATAAACTTTAGTGCTGGTAACATTAAACCCAAAGTGCGTGTCTGGCTATTTCATCCTAGCCCATGGCTGAAGATTTATTCAAAGAACAAAAACTGAATTCAGATAACACCACTGCAACCCAGCAGTCTGCATCTGATTCCCAGCTGGCAGATCTCCAGGAGAAAATCCAGCAAACAGAGACCACCAACAAGGTATGGTCAGTCCCAGCCTCGGAGAGCCCCGCGTCCCGGGGGGAGGCTGGCCAAAGCCCACCGTGCGCGCCCGGGAGGTGGCTTCTGCGTGTTGCTGGGGCAGGAGGAAGTATTTGAGTGGAAGTGCAGTCGTTCTTTACCTCTCAAGGCTGTAGCCTGCTCTGCGCAGGTCAGACTTGCAGGTGTCTTTTAGGTCTTAGTCACAACTGGGATACAGGCTTGAACTTACAAGGTCTGAGCCTGGGGGCTTGTGTTTTTGATTTTGAACTTCTCACAGCTTTATAGCCCATGGGTTTTGACTTCCGCTTAGAAAATGCCCACGGCCTGAGAGGCCGAGTGTGGTGTGCCCTTGTCGTGCAAAGTGCTATGCCAAGAGCAGGTGCTCCCGGAGCCTGTGCCCATGGACCCCGCGTCACGGGAAGCACAGCGTGCACAGTGGAAGGGATGGGGGTGCGGGGGCAGGCCTCGCAGTCTACCTGCTGCTCTCTCTTGCCGATTGGCCGGGGGCTGTAATGGTTAGGAAATCTGGGCGGAAATAACATGTAACGGTCCCTAAGAAATGCTTCCAATGCGAACTTCAAAGAGGACTTTATGGTTATATCTGATGCTAAAAGAAACCACCTTCCTAACAACTGGTTTTGTTTGCTGAATTCAGATTCTTCAAGAGAAACTGAGTGACATGAATGAGGAACTAAAATCTGCTCAGGAGTCATCTCAGAAACAAGAAGGCACAATTCAAAACCTCAAGGAAACTCTGAAAAGCAGGGAAAGCGAGGTAAAGCATTGGCAAGCGGTGCCCTCCGCGGGGCCTTGTCGCATCAGAGTTAACAGCACGATATAGTTTGTAGAAATGAATCTTGGCAGGGAAGAGCCCGCGAAATTATAGTTAACCTAAATTGGTGTTCTGGAACAGTCCCACTTAAAATCGGGACATCACAGAATGGTCTCATTTATCGCACTAACTCGGTGCTCCCTTGTTTCCAGACCGAGGAACTGTACCAGGTGATCGAAGGCCAAAACGACACAATGGCCAAGCTTCGGGAAATGCTGCACCAGAGCCAGCTTGGGCAGCTCCATGTACGTGAGGGTCACGCGGGCGGGGAGCCAAACTGGGGCAGAGGACAGGGTCTGGGTCACAGAGTGCTGACCTGGGGGTCTCCTTTTGGGTGTGGCACCTGTGGTGATGAGCCTCCTTTTCTCTTCAGAGTTCAGAGGGCGCTTCCCCCGCTCAGCAGCAGGTGGCTCTGCTCGACCTCCAGAACGCCCTGTTCTGCAGCCAGCTGGAGATCCAGAAGCTGCAGCGGGTGATCCGGCAAAAGGACCGGCAGCTGGCGGGTGCCAAGCAGTGTGTGCAGTTTGTGGAGGCCACAGCCCACGAGCAGGAGCAGCAGAAAGAGGCTTCTTGGAAACACAATCAGGTGAATCATTAATCGCTTTTGTGGCCCTCAATGCTGACTTTGCCCCGATCGTTACTCTGTATCAGGTCAGTTTGGGCTGAAAGGTTGAGTTCCTTGTTTAATGCTGGTGATTCACTTCAACACATGCTGGATGCTGGATGCTGGGCTGTGATCACGACACAGGAGTATTACAGGCTCTGTTCAGTTTGGTATAGTTTGGAATAAGACATAGTTGCATAAATAGAATCTCAGTGTGGTAAATAGGATTCTCCAGGAATGCTTGGGAGGGGTTGAGGGATGGAGTCAGGGAAGGCTTCCTGAAGGAGGAGGTATCTGAAGCTGCTCTTGAAGGACAGTAAACATTAGACTGAGGTGGTCTTTTTTTTATCCAGTTAGCTTAGAACATATGCTACCAATTGTTTTTGACTTAAAAAGATTATTTTTGTGTTCTATTTTCTTAGGCTCTTTAACATGAATATTTAAAAGTGTAGTTTTTGAAGGATCTCCCTGGAGATTAAATATTAACCCCAAAATTCTTCAGAACTATGAAAACTTCAGGTGTCTTAGCAGTTAGGAGTGCTGACAGAAGGATGGGTTTGGAAATGACTTATAACTTTTTGTTGTTTACTTGAAGGAAGCTTTTTCCTGTGTTTTATTCAGTTGATGATGATATAAATCATCAGAACAAATAAGTTAAGGGTTATTAATTTTATTATCCAAAATATTTGCTGTATGGAAATTGAGAGGCATCTTTCTTTAGAACAGAAAGTTTTTAGGGGAGAATAAGAATAACATGAATGTTCTTGAGCTTATTGTGAAGTAAAGGATCCAGATTTACTGTAGGGCAGCCCACTTAGTACTTATACAGACCTGTTGTTTTTAAACAAAAAATAAGCCGTTAACTGCCCGCTGCCACTCAGCTCCCACAATTTCCCACAACCTGATTCATATTATATATTCCTGTAGGGATTTTAAGAATGGCACTCTTTGCTACTTCATTCTGTTTCAAGGTCTCCATATCTAAGCACTGAACATTTTAGCAACCTTTAACATCTGTTCGGTTCAGGAACTGCGAAAAGCCTTGCAGCAGCTACAAGGGGAGCTGCAGAGTAAGACCCAGCAGCTGCATACCCTGGAGACTGAAAAATACAGTGAGATTCGGGCCCAGGAGCAAAACATCCAGCACCTGACCCAGAGTCTGCGCCACAAAGAGCAGCTGCTGCAAGTGAGTCATTTCCCTGATCACACCCCGCTCGGAGGACTCCGGTGGCTTCGTTATTTGATCTTGAGACACTGGCCCCCTTGTCGGGTACCTACCGCCTGCGGGACATAGAGAGGTGGGGCAGGGAGCTGGCATCCACAGACCGTAATCCAAGAGCAGGGTTGTGAACGACTGACCTGACCGCCTTGAGCCGTCAGTGCCCTCAGGTTAGCAGCCTGCGAGTCGGGCTCTCTGCTGGAAAGCGGTGTCGGTCTCGGTCCAGTACGTGATGACACCTGAACAGAAATTTCCAGTTACTTAGATAGTGAAAGTTCTAGGGGAAAGTGGAAGAAGAGCATGAGCAGGCTGCTGCCTACTCGAGGCTTTGTTTCCATCGAGTGTTCCATTGAGCTTACAATTTTTTCATAATTTGCATATTTCGCACATTTTCCTCTCTGAGAGAAAAGCCCATCACCTTCTCCCCTGGGGAATACCTCCTCCTGTTAAGACTCAAGTGTCATCTCTTTGGTGAAGTCTTTGGTGACCCTTCGAGACAGTCAGGCACTGCGGCTGTATCCTGTGTTTCCTGGGGGCTGCTCGCCCCCACCACTGCCACCCCTCCATGCGCTACAGAAGAGCTCATGTATGTCCATTATCTCTGCTGGGCCAGGGTCCCCCAGACAGTGATTATACTTTGCTTTTATTATGAGTCACTAATAAATTGCTTCCAAGTATAAGAATTCAGTTGCTGTGGCATAAATGAATAAGGAAACGCTTATTGGTCTCCTTAGGAGTGTCAGGAGCTACTGCAGTATCGAGAGAACGCAGACAGAACCTTTGAAGCAAATGAGATACTGCTTGAGAAACTCCGGCAGCGAATACAAGACAGAGACGCTGCCCTGGAGGTAGGCATCTGCTTACCTGCTCTGCGCACGGCACCGGGTTACCCCAGGGGAGCACATCTGCTTCCCCCGCAGCTTTTTGGTGTTGGGTTTTCGTGTCTTTGTGCTCGGACACTCGCTGAATAAGGGTGCTAAGAAAAGTGGATCTTACGGAGTTTCAGGAGCCTCATTTTCCTTGCAGCGGGCGATCGATGAAAAGTTCTCCACTCTAGAAGAAAAAGAAAAAGAACTACGGCAACTTCACCTTGCCGTGAGAGAGCGAGGCCATGACCTGGAGCGGCTTCGCAGCATTCTGTCCTCCAACGAAGCCACCATGCAGGTGAGCGCAGCCCAGGCCTCGCCTCCCTCTCTGCAGCGCCCCCTTCTGTCACTCCTGCGTCATAGGAAGAAGCGGGGCTTTGATGAGCTCCATGGCTGTAGGCCAGGGAATGAGAGGTTTGAGCACCCCTGTCATGGACTGTGAACTTTGTGGGGGAGCCAAGGAGGGAGGGTTTCTATACATTGCTCTTCTGATTTATTTTGAATCTTTGTAATATTTACATACTTTACATGAGCATTACCTGGGTGCAACTGGTGTGTTTTTCTCCTGATACTGTGTGTGTAGCCATCATCAGAGCACTTACTGATCTCATTAACATGGACTCGGGCTATTTTGTCTGGTTCAGAGTATATGTAGCTGGCCCTCTGCCCTTAAAGACGTTCTTTATTCCCTCCACAACAGAACCTTCCCCTCTGAAGTGCTTTGGCAGGTTCATTATGGATCCCTCTCTACAAACTAGGCTCAAGTTCCTAAAAACAAAAAATGGATCAGTATGGCATCGATAGACTAGATGCTACATTTCCCCCCTCATTTGCAGAGAAACTAACAGATAAATTAAAAGATCACTTAAAGGCGGCTAGGCTTCTTGTTCACCCGAGGGGTGTGGGCCAGGGGCCCTCTTACTGTGGCTGCTTTCTTTGTGCCTGCAGAGTATGGAGAGCCTCTTGAGGGCCAAAGGCCTGGAGGTGGAACAGTTAACAGTGACCTGTCAAAACCTCCAGTGGCTGAAAGAAGAAATGGAAACCAAATTTAGCCACTGGCAGAAGGAACAAGAAAGTATCATTCAGCAGCTGCAGACGTCTCTGCACGACAGGAACAAAGAAGTGGAGGCAAGGCTGTGGTGGGCGTGGGCAGGGGCTTCGCAGTGGCCGGCCTCAGCCTGCACTCTCGAGGTCTGGGTGCCGGTGACTGAGTCTTTAATCCCTTTCGCCCCCTGAGCGTGTCAGCGGCCACCACAGAAACTTCCCAGCCCCATCAACTTAAGGAGACAATGCTCTTCCTCAAAGAAGTTATGGGAGAGCCAGTGAGACCTAAAAACTCCATCTACAACATGATCCCCAACCTTCTTCATTAGTATAGTGCCCGGGTCGGGCGCTCTGAGGGTTCCAGAGCTTAATGACATTCTCTCATGACTCCTCACGCGTCTGGAGGTTCATGTTCTTTCTTTTACAGATGCCAAACAGACTTTGGAAGTTAAGTAGTGCCGGGAGTGGTGTGGGCAGCAGTGGCAGGGCCACGTGCCCATGTGTGCCAGGTGCTGCCCCCTGGTGGCGGGGAGCCACGCCCCCCCACCCCCCCTCCCCCCCAGGCTGCAGTTGCGCTGCTCTTTTACAGCTTGTCACTCTTACAGTAGGGAAAAAGCTGAAAGAGCTGAGCGTCCCCTTGTCGTTGCCCAGTAGTAACGGCTCTGTGCCCCAAGCCAAGAGCGGACTTCCTTCCCACAGCACTTCAGCAGCCGTTTCTGGCGTCGCTGAGGCTCGCTCGCTGAACAGCCTCGCGGCTCGCTGGGTGGCAGGCCCTGCTAGATCTGGGGAACACCAGTTCATAGAGCATGATACCAGTTTCCAGAATTCCATCGCCCTTCTCCCACGCTAGATCCTTACAAGCCCCGTGGCCTGCAGTAAGGGAGATCCCCGTCACTCACGCTGCCCCTTCTCTGCTAGGATCTTACTGCAACCTTGCTCTGCAAGCTGGGCCCCGGGCAGAGCGAGGTAGCCGAGGAGCTGTGCCAGCGCCTGCAGCAGAAGGAGAGGATGCTGCAGGAGCTGCTGAGCGACCGCAACAAGCAGACCGTGGAGCATGAGCTGGAGGTTCAGGGCCTGCTGCAGACCACGGGCGCCAGGGAGCAGGAGAGCCAGGTCGGCCGTGGGCTGCGCTTCTGTGCGGGGGTGCGGGCGCCTTTGAGCCTAGGAGCGGGAAGAGTTGTGTCATTTTACTTGTGTTGGTCGTTTTCCTTGCGCGTATTGACTAGACTCCAGTTTCACATGCAGCCTCAAAGCGTGAGGTGTTTTCAGAGCACGTAGCTTGGGACGTGCCCGAGTAGCAAGTCCCGCCAGCATCAGGTCCCCACAGCATCTCCTTAAGCGCCTGCTTATTGCGACAGGAAGGAATACAGGGCTCTGGGTGTTTTGTTTGAGGTCGTTGAAACTCCATCTAACAAGCTCCAGATAGCGGGACTGTTGCTGGTCCAGGACTCACACTTGGGCAGCGCTGCTCAGAACATCACTGCTCGGGAAGGAGGCCGACCGGCGGTTAGTGAGTGACGCGCGCTATCGTGTGTCGTTCACAGTAAACATTTCCAAAGCCGTTTTAATTGAGGCAAGTTAATCACATCCTAATACTACTAAAAGGGTTATATCCAAATACCTGAAATTTTCCTTAGTGAAAATGGAGGGTTTTTTTATTTCCTGAGAAGCTGTAACCAGGGTGAGCGTCTTGTTGAAAATGGTGGGAATCCTCCCGAGAGACAGTCAGTGCTCTGATGTAGCTCATGTAATGTCATTCCACTTAACGGCTTACACATCTAGTAGCTTCAGCCCTAGGTGATGATTTCCGTGTGTGCTGATGGAATGCAGACTGATGGTTGGTAGATGCCGATCTTCCCCTCACTGTGCTGTCAGTTGTCTTACAGTAATGGGGGGTTTTCCAGGAGGCAAGCGGGGCTTCGTGGCTCTCCTGGGTTGTGGTCTGTTAAAATTGTGTCAGTGAAATCGATCACTCGGTAAATGTGTGGTGTCTGGTACCTAGCAGACACACTGCAGCACTGAATAGAGCAGGTGACCTGTCCTTAGGAAAATCCAGGTCCGCTCCGCAGACTGAGAGAAACAGTGAGAAGCGAGCAGGTGGTGCGGGGAGCCGGTCCGAGCCCAGGAGGCAGCCACGGCATGTCCGTGTGAAGCGCTTCCTGGCTGCGGACGGCGTCTGAGGCTGAACAAAGGCAGCTCTTACCCACGTTGCTCCAGACTCAACACTTCAGCCTGGTAGTCACTTTCAGGCTGCTTCACCTGAGATAAATGCGTTAATGAGTTTTGCCAGTATTTCTGCCTCAAGAGACTTTCTGCAGAGTCACCTACATTTTCCCACCTAAACTCAGGGCAGGGAAAGGGCCTCCCAGGGGCTTTGCTCACGTGTTGGCATTTAACAAATGACATCAGAGCGCAGGTGTATTAGTGTATCTTTGTAACGTATGTGGGATTGCTCTTCCCAGGCAGCTGCAGAGAAGATGGTGCGGGCCCTAATGGAAAGGAATTCCGAGTTGCAGTCCCTGCGCCAGTTTTTGGGAGGGAAAGACTTCATCTCTGACCAGCCAGGGGGCGTTACGGCCATCGGCCCCCACCCCGGAGAGCAGACAGAGCAGGTAAGGCTGGGAGGCCGGAGCAGGCGTCAGCACTGGCGCCTTGTCACACTCGCCGCCTGAGTCTGTGCACCGCGTCCCGAGTTGTGTGAGGAGATTCCAAGTCCCTGTTGCTGTGGCTGTGCCCCTGTGTCTTCCTAACCCCTGGCTCTTCCCATTCCTAGGGCTCAGTGCATATGCCCTCCAGAGACGACAGCATTTCGTTGACCCCCAAAGGGGATGTCAGCATGCCCAGGTCCTCGTCAGGTAAGTGTCAGATGTCACTTCACCAAGGAGCCTTCTGTGTTTCCCTCCTATAACTCTCAGTTACTAGGTCTGGCCAAGACTCTCCTTTTTCTCCCTCCATGGTGAAAAAAATAATTTGGACTCCCCCAAAGCATGAAGGCCTGCCTGTCCAGGGAGCACTGCCCTTCCCTGCAACTGAGTTGGTTACTGCTCGGGGCACAAGGTTGGCCAGGGACGCACTTCTTCCCAGGTAGCCTGTAGGCTCAGCTGCGGGCGCTGGTGTTTTCAGGCTCACAGAGCAGGGCTCCGGGGCTGACGCCTTCCCTGGGAGACCCAGACTGCGGTGGGTGGCCAGCCCCGCCCGGTTACAGTGATGGGAGAGGTGGGCAGGAGCCTGTGTCTTCGCCAAGGTCAGCTCCCTCCTGTGGGCACAGTGGGCCTTGAACTCCCTAGGAGCTGAATTCTGTACGTGGTGGGGTAAACCTCAGATAGATGCCTTAGGTGAGCGTCCCTGATGTTCACAGCGCAGGAGACCGGAATCCACGATAGTTTCAGAACATCGTGACCAGTGAGGTTTGGGCCTGGCCATGGTTGACGAGGTCGTGATGATGGTGTATGGTGAGCGGGTTATGGACATGGAGAATTATAATGTTTAATGCTATTAAGAATGTAAAAGCTTTGTGTTGATGTTGTCGTGCTGGTGTTACAGATTCCCAGAGAAGTCCGGCAAGTTGCTATTTTCTAGTAGGATTAACTTTGCTAGTCAAAAAGTTAAAATACTACGTTTGTTAATGTATTCCTTTTATTTTTTTTAAATATTAGAAATCATAATTTGTATTCCGTAAATTTCAAACCTATACAAAAGTGGCAAAAACAATACAGTGAATTCCATATATACTTTCATTAAAGTTCACTAATTGATGCCACTTTGCCAGACTTGAGCTATTTTTATTTTCTTTTTTGCATGTACACACAGACATTGTCATTTTTGAAGACCCCACATTGCTCAAGTCCCTCAATTTGGCTCTGATTATATGCTTGCTGTGAAATTCAAGTTAAATATTTCTGGCAAGACCGCTGCATGGAGCCTCCTTGCCCAGCACATCACATCAGGACCCTTCTACCAGCTCGTTGCCATGTGTGACACTGCACTCAGTCACGTGGTCAGGCTTGAGGCTGCTCTCTCCCCTGCAGCTCACTAATGACCTGAGGCTGCACCTGGAGAGGCGGGCAGCCGTGTGTCTGCCCAGTCGTTTCACCTGGTGCTTCAGCATCCTTCAAGCTTTGCCTGAACCAACTATTACGTTGGTAGTTTCAAAGTGACTTTTTATTTCTACAGTTTTTCTCTTTACTTATGTAGTGTGTTCTTTTGTAAACAAGAGCTGCCTTTCCTCCACCATCCTCACTGTCTGCATCATTATGGACTAAGAGTCTTTTTTCTTTAATCATTTTATTATCCATTTCTGTCATTATTTTATTTGATGCCCAAATTCTTCCAGGTTTGGCCAGTTGGAGTCCGTGCAACCTGTCCTGTCTTTTTGACATTCCCCATCAGTTTTTGAGCATTCCAGATGTTTTTTGGCCTTTTGCTTTTCTGCCTCAGCCCTGGAATCAACCCTCGCTCTGAGGTTGTCTCTGTTCCCTGACAATGAAAACGGCATTTTGATATTGATATCAGGACATAGATATGTTCATCTTTACAAAGATGCCATTTTATTTTAAGAGTTTTTTTTTAATGATCAGAGATAGACAGAGACATTAAAATATAGGTAGATCAAGATACAGATACTTGTTTTGTTATTGCTGTGTGTGTCTTCAGGGTGAATTCCTCGCAATGGAGTAACAGGCTCCACACTGTATTAGCAGTCACTAAAGCTAGCACTGTGTGCTCATTTTAGGAGACTTAGACACTGTTGCAGGACTGGAAAAAGAACTGAGTAACGCCAAAGAGGAGCTTGAACTCATGGCTAAAAAAGAAAGAGAAAGTCGGGTGAGTTTTCTAATACAGCCTACTTTCTGAATTTATGTCTGGATCGAAATGCAAGCTATACTTTTTTTCTTTCTGGAGAAAAACAGAAATGACTTTAATGGCCTTTCTGTCTCCAAGCCTTTATGTCCCTGTGACATCATCTTGAACCAGTGTTTGGGGTCCCCCTGTCCTTGTTTTTATAAATGGGGACCATGAAAACTTCTGAGGTGCTGATACAACACAACTTTCCCTGCCTCTCTCCAACTGGAATAAAATAATCGTGAAAGCCCTGTGAAAGGTCATAGTATATGGTCTGAGAGAAATGACCCAATGGTGCGTGCTGGGGCCACCGCCATCCGTTGGTTGCTCCCGGGGAGACGGCTGCCGACAGCAAGAGTTAAACCAGCGGGGTCTCCGCGAATGGCGTGGCGGCTGAGACCGGAGCAGGAGGCGGTCCACCTGTGCCCCAATCCGAAGAAGCTCAGGCAGAGAGAACTGCAGGTGTGCAGGCCCCGAGTGAAGAGGGAGGCAGACACTCACAGACAAGAAAAGAGCGGTGGTGTGGGTACAGTGGCAGGGATCGAAGCTGGAAGTGGGTGGGAGCCCGCTCAGAGGTTTCCTGGAGGGCCACGTCGATCCAGCACATGAATTGCAGTGCTGGGGCCTAGTGAGCGCCTGGTGGAGGCTGGTGCACGATGGCCTGTGCGCTTTGTCCCGACGGGTGTTTGGCTGCCATCTGCTGCTGCGGAGGGGTGGGAGGCACAGCGCGGGAGGTGGGGTACGCTTTTCTTCCCCAGGGTAGGACTCCCCCCTCCAGGGGTGGTGTGTCGGTCCGCAGGAGCGTGCAGTGTGGTGATCTGGTGCGCTAATGAAGGCCTGAATCGCTCATTTATTAAGGTCAGACGTGGAGAGAGCGTTATAACCTGTCTGTCCTATAGCTGCAAGGGGCCTCCTCCAAGCCAGAGCCAGTGCCTACAGGAAACTATTCTGTATCTGCTAATAGTGACCATGCTCTTAATTATTGCCAGCAGATCAGCTGTGTGTCTCAGCTGAGGGGAGGACTTCATTCACACCGCGAGGGCCGCTTCCCACAGACCACCCTCTGCTCCCACACTGCTTGATCTGGGCGAGGCGGGTCTGCCCCTCTCCCAGTTTTGACTGGAGTTACAGTTTTCACTGGCTGATTTAGCGGCAAATTTAGATGTACACATGACGGATGCTGTTTCTTCTGCCCGCCAACCTTGGGACTTTTCCCCACAGATGGAGCTTTCAGCTCTGCAGTCCATGACGGCTGTGCAAGAGGAAGAGCTGCAGGTGCAGGCTGCTGAGATGGAGTCTCTGACCAGGAGCATTCAGATCAAAGAAGACCTCATAAAGGTCGTTCAGCGCTTTTAAAAGACCACTGAAAATGATCCCAGCCCCGCGCGCCTGCCGGCTCCTCAGACAGCAGCTGGGGGTTCCAGCCCCGGCTGTTTGCCCGCGGTGCTGTTCCTTTGCGCCCCTCCCTTGGCGCCCTGAGTTCTCTTGGGCTCGTGTCGGCACCGCTGAGGTTCCCTGAGGAATGTCTCGCCTGTGGCTCGTCACCTGGCTAGGGCAGAGCTGACTCTCCCCTCTGCCGAGGAGCAGGTTCACAACTACACGTGTGTTTGACTTCTAGGACCTGCAGATGCAGCTGGTCGATCCCGAGGACATGCCAGCCATGGAACGCCTGACCCAAGAAGTCTTACTTCTTCGTGAAAAAGTCGCCTCAGTAGAATCGCAGGGTCAAGAACCTTCAGGAAACCGAAGACAGCAAGTAAGTTGTTGGAAAACCAGCTGAATTTTCACTGTGAAGTAAGAATGGGAGCGCTGCCACTCCCGGCTGTTTGCGAAGGGGCCAGGGGTGTGGAATTTTCTAGAGAATCTGCTGTAACGTTTCCCACCTGGCTCAGCAGCAGCCACAGATGGTCCTTCCGAACTCTGGTTCCTGTGCCTTCCTTTATCCGACCTTCCGTGACAGAAGATAAGTCTGCTTAATGCTCCTGTCTCCTACCACCTCTCGTTGCTCATTGAAGCTGGCGTTAGCTGCAGCAGCTCACTGAGCCAGACCCCTGCAAGTCATACGCATTCATACCCCTCTACAGAAGTCACAGTGACTCGCAGTGACACGGACGGGCCTGGCACGTGGAGGGCTCAGTTCTGTCCACCTCTCGCCCTTCCTCTTCTCCTCTGTTGCTTTCCCTTAGCCTCTTTCCTGTGCTGCTGGCTTCACGCTCCTCTTCCTTCCTTGCTCCCAAGTTTGAATTCTGCCAGGCAGAGCTTTAAAGATAAAAACCATAATGTGACCTGGACTGAAAACTCTAAAATACCCTGAGCACACCGGTGAGTGGTGCCTGCAGGTGTCCTGGCCCCACGCCCAGGGTGGTCTCTGGCGTCAAGTCTCACATGCCCCTCTGTGGGTTGCCTCTTCTCTTTCCTCAGTTGCTACTGATGCTGGAAGGGCTGGTGGATGAACGGAGTCGGCTCAACGAGGCCTTGCAGGCAGAGAGACAACTTTACAGCAGCCTGGTGAAGTTCCACGCCCACCCGGAGAGGTAAGAGCGCACCTGCCGTTCTTCCTCGCGTCCCCATCAGGGGCAGGCGGCTACGGTGTCCAGGGGGCACAGAGACACACACTAGGACCCCCAGTTTGTTGCCTGGCGCCTCAGTGCTGAGCCCGGGCTCGTGCCTGCTTTCCTGTGGCTCGGAGCGCAGGGCAGTGGCCCGTCTGAGCCGGCCGCGCCTGTGTGCACGCACAGCGCCGTCCTCCCCTCTGCTCCATGTCCCCCAGCTGTTCTGGCCTGAGAACGAGGCCGCGAGGACACTGGCACTGAGTGTCACGGAGGGAAAGTGCCACTTGCTTCTCACGCCCCACGGGCCACGGCAGGCACCACGGGGCGTCTCCTGCGCCTCCTGCTTTGCTCACCGAGAGCTTTTTCAGCTTCTGTTCCTCATTTGTTTCTCATTTGGCCTTTTTCTCTTATTTAGATTCTTTTACTATCCAGTGCCTGTTAGTTTATTGTTGGGTTTTTAAGCCGTCTGCTTTCCATCTGAATAAACGACAGCCGAGGAAAAACAGGGCGGACCGCTCAGCTGCGCCCGCCTTTAAGGACGCGTGGAGTCTATAGGAGCTCGGCTTCTGCAGGCTCTGTTGCATGTGCTGACCAGGGTCTTCAGCAGCGATCCTGCTGGGGCCACACCTGCTTCAGTTTACATTTGGGTTTCCCTGGGCTTGATTTTTCAGAACCTAACACTGTCAGTTTTCCCTTATGTGGGCAGTGGGGGGCACAGCTTGAAGCTTAGAAACTAGTTTTGTGCCAGAGGGCTCCAGAATCTCACACACAGGGCATGTTTCACAGGCCTTGTACTCTCCCGGCGGTGAGCTCCCCTCGTGTGGCCGGAGAGCCGTGCCGTAGAGAGCCTCGTGGCTCCAGGCGGCGCTGGGGCTCCTCAGAGGCACCGGTGGACTCACTGCACTTTAAGGCTAATCCGTTTTCCTTCCCTGTGGCATGTTTAATCAGCTCTGAAAGAGACCGAACTCTGCAGGTGGAACTGGAAGGGGCCCAGGTGTTACGCAGCCGGCTCGAAGAAGTTCTCAGAAGAAGCCTGGAGCGCTTGAGCAGGCTGGAGACGCTGGCGGCCACTGGAGGTGGGGAACCGCAGCGTGGGGGCGTCCGTCCCGAGCATGGCCCCTGAGTGCTGGCGGGCAGGCTGCGGCCCAGGACGGAAGCCTTTGTGCGCACTAACCGGAGGGAGCCTTGTCTGACGGGGCGGAATGAAGTGGTGACTTACTAATGATAGCGCTGGGGCACGTAGCATCCGCCGCAAAGAGGAGCTCGCGCTAGCTGCCGGCTCTCACTGTGCTTGTTTATCTCCCCGTTGACAGTGGGGGCTACCAAGTGTATTTGCACATTTCAGATCATTCCATTTTCGTTTTCCCGCTGTAGTCACTCCTATCCCGAGCCCCTCCTTCTCATCCCTCACCCCTACTCCGGGCCAATAAAGTTTATTGCTCCCCGTCCACCAGCCATCTCCGTCCCCTCCCGTGTCATGACGCATGCGTGTGTGTATTGTGTTTGCCATCCATTCCACTCCTGCTTTTTGAGTGAGAGCAACTTTGTCTCAAATAAACGTGTCGAGATGCAAGGGGGGGTGGAGAGTCTTAGGCGCGACTTTGCAAAGGCGGCGGAAGTCTTAGCGCGAGGGCTCAGGGCAGCTGCAGCCCCGGGAGGGCAAGTGGGTGGCAGAGACAGACCACCGCAGGCTTCCTGTGCCGGTGTCACCAGAGGAGCTGCAGAGTGGGTTTCGGATGGCGCGGGGGTGAGGGTACCGCAGGCGTTGGCCCTTCCAAACCGGGGCTTCGTGCTACTAGTCGAATACGACTCCGAAAAGCTCCCGCACTTCCCAGAGCCAGAATTCTCCAGGAAAAAGATGATTTCCAGTGTAATGTTTCTCTTTAAATTCAGTATTTCACCAATAACTCAGTATAGCCAGAGGACATCATTGCCAGTGTCTCCATTTGTGGTGGCTCTCTCTCTCTCTCTCTCTCTCTCTCTCTCTCTCTCTCTCTCTCTCTCTCTCTCTCTCTCTCTCTCTGCGTGTATCTGTGTATCCATAGGCTTGACTATGGGGGTCTTTTCAGAAGAACTTACGAAAGATTTGTGTTCACAGGTTTTGTCATTGTTTCAGGGCCTTAGGGGAGCAGGACAGATGCTCAAGAAAGAGTCCTGCGGGCTGTATCTCTGGGCTCTGAAATGTCAGGAATGTAAAAATAACCAAGATTACTTTGGAGCTTCCCAGATTCGCCACCAAGAATTTTCTGATTTCTTGGGGATGTATGTTTCCTAATGAGACACTGAGATTTCAGTTTTTAAACATGGGATTTGGTAAACAAGGATTGGGGCTTCCTAAGACCATAAATACGACAGAAAGCCCTTTCTAAACTCAGAGGCTTTTCTGTTTTCCCCACGTCTTATGTTTTATTTCTTTCACAGTCACATGTTGACAGACTTTCCTTCCATTCTAAACCCATCCAAGCTTCTGGAACCTTAACCATGCCCATAACAGCCAGAGCTTCAAACTAGACGGGGAAGATGATGTTCTGCCGAAGGAGCACCCTCGGGTTCCCTGATTAAACATTTTGAAGATGAATAGCCATAAGTCTTGCTCTAAGTGGAAATACCTTCCGGATTTAATGACCTTTAGGGAGGGGTCATTTAATGAAGGCGACAGTGTAAATAGAACCACTTGTTTTAGCCTCCCAGTCTTGAGGGAACCTGTCCTGCACAAAACCTGTTGTGACTTCCCAGAAGTCAGGAGGAGAGTGATTGAGTGGTTAAGATGCCCATCCACTGAAGACTAGCCCGCCCGATCACCCTGCCAGGGCAGTCAGAAAATGTCCTCCCTAACTTTACCAGTCACAGGACAAGGAGACTCTCAGCCTCTTGTTAAGACTCAGCCTCGGGTGGCCCAGGTTCCGAGGGTTCTGGTGATGGCAGAGATTTATGTAAATTGCTATCCAGCTTCTGTCAACCTCCAACACGTAGGAATTTCCCTTGCTATCTTGAACTGTTATGAAGTGTTAGAAATACTAAGATAGTTGGATAAATAATGAGAAACCCCAGTTTCTGTTGGAAAATTACCAGACTAATAGATGGAGGGTGGGAGGAGAGGAGTAAATCCTGATTTGGGAAAAGAAAAAACTAACTTGTATAATCATTTGCCTTTGGCATAGGTCCATGGGGAATATTTTTTAAAATGAAGTGATTTAGTGGCAAAGGGCAAATTAAGAGTTTGCTCTTATTACTGTAGCTGTGACTAAAACCTGGTACGTACCGTCAGTCTTGAGAGGTGCGATGGGGTTTTGCGAACAGGGCTTTCTGGAGAGAGTTTGCTGGTCTCACAATTTCGTATAACAGTTTGGCGTCTTCATAGACAATGTGACGGATGCACTGTGTTCTGTAACCCACAGACAGGCGATGCTGTGGGTAGCTGTGTCGCTCAGTAGTCAGCGTGATACAGTATAATTCCATTGTTACTCAGGAGCTTACACGCTTATGAATTTTTCTTTATCAGGCATTTTTCAAGATGACAGTAACCTTAGGTGAAACATGTGCTTATAGAACCTCGTGCTTGAATAAAAAATCTTGAACGAAAATTCAGTTCTCAGGCCATGCTTCATTGGAAGTGGAGAACTTAAACTTGGAAAAATCCATGTTGGTTTTTAGAACTATGGAATTGACAAGGACTTCCAGTAGGATTTATTTAATGTTTGAAATAAATAGAAGTCTGTGTGACAGGCATTTTACCCCCTAAACTCTTTTTTATTGTAGGAGTAAACCCTAGCGAAATTTAATGATTGTTATAGCCTAATATAAAGTGGCATTTTGTGATGTTCTCTTTTTATTGATAGTTACTAAACCAACTTACAACGTTCATAAAAACATCTGAGAGGACTGTTTTAATACTGCCAGCCTTTTACTCTGAGAGGGTGTACCATTACCCTCCTCACCCACCCCTACCCCACTCCCACATCTCTCTGTTTTAGACAGATAGTAGCAATATTTTTTAATACCTCTACTCATTGGGGCTTTTAAAAGATTTTTCATTTTTTTCACTATAGATAATAAGAGACCTACTAAGGATCAAAAAAAATCTTGATTTGTACAGGATAATAAGGATAATAGATCCTGGCTATGAGAAGACATTCCTCAGATGCTCTGGACATTCTGCCTGTATAATTGACACAGGTGACCTGGTGGCAGATACATAGAAAAGGCCACTCACTTGTAGCCTTGTGCTCTTGACTCAGCATTTGGTACTGAAAGTCTGACTCGTCACTTTCCAACAGTCCAAGAAAATTGATTTCAGTTCTCTATGCCCAAGTCTCCAGTTGAATCTGGAGTCCTCAAAGGAGGATGGTGTAGAGCTTTTCCCTGAGGAGGTATTAGCGACCTCTACTTCTCGTTGTAATAATAAAACCATTGTTTTCTGACTTCATGGTTTTTTAATACGGAAAAATTTCACAGGAGTGTCACAGTAGACAGTCCTGAAAACTCTAGTTCCCTAAGTGACAGCGTCCAGTGTGGCCAGGAAGAATATTAGTCATCCACACACTCGAAGGCTGTTTTCCATCTTGCATTGTAGATGTTGCACTAGAGGTAAAATAATAAAAAAATAAAATTAGGTTTTTAAATTTTTTTCCCCAATGCCAACATCCAGAGATTAGAGGATTTCCTCTCTTTTCTCTTAGGGTCATAGGACTTTTCTTCTCCTTTTGGAACTGAACCACTTTTACTCTAGAAACATTGACCAGCAAGCAATATGGCACTCAGTGATGACAGCCCATAACAAGCACCAGGAGTGAATCAGTGGGATAATCCACTGGCGTGATTCCCACGGGGCAATAGTTTCTTAGTCTTAATGCAGCTTGGAAATGGATTTAAGCTTCCTTCTCACAGCCTAAATTATCTGAAGTAATATCTTTGTAAACCTTTTCATTAAAATTAGAAAACAAGTATGTTGCTTTTTAAGTATGCTGAATATTGGCAGAAGGTAAGTCCTCAAATTCTTAATATAAAATCACAAGAGTCAGGATGAGTTTCCCAAATAAAAAATTAGTGTTGTAAATTGCTTCCAGCAAAGGATGGGAAGTAGAAGGGTATCACCCAAGGGTAGAACTGGCAATACTAGTTTTACCAGTTTCAAATAAAAAGTCATAAAGTGATATACCAACTCTTTTTTACATTCCTTTCCCTTTATCATTTAAAGTCAAATTCATGAAATAAAAATCTTTATCAAACTATTTCCTCTTGCTAAAACTGGAGGAATAAAATTGAAAGTTCAGTAATGTCAGAGGTGTTCCTCTAAAACACCTTGAAAGGCTGGGTGTTGAGAACATGGACCAAGTCAGCTTCCTTGTTCCTTCTTTAAGAGCTTGGGACCATCTAGAAGTGCATGTAGGCTGACTTTTAATATGTGGCTTGAGCATACAGTGCTTCCTTTGAAGGTACCAGTGTCATTGCTCCAAATAGCAGCCTCAATCCATAAGCTTTACAGGCATGTGTCTACACAAGTGGGCTTTATGGATCATGTATTTCGGTTTCCTTGAAGTACTCTGAGTTTGATAATAAAAGCAGTTTTACTTGCCTTTACCACCTAAACTTGATCCTAGGGCTGTTAAGAAAAATTTTAAGAGACTCATGACTTTGTAAATGAAGCAAGAATACATTCAGTGATCCAATAACCTGGCATTAGATAATTTCCAGGACTATCTCTCCACTGAAATAAACTGTGTATTTCCTTCTGGAAGTTCATTTCTTCATGACACTTTGCCGTGTTAAACAGTGTTAGCACTTGTGCTGAAGTGGAGGGTGTACCTTTTACAAATAAGCCTTAGAATCCAGCTATAGTTCAGTTAAGATCAGTAAAATGGTTTCTGATTCAATAAAATATCAAAAGCCAAACACTATGGTTTCATTCTTAAAAAAAGATTTGCAAGGAAAGAGGTAGAGAAGTCTCATATCTTTTTCTTGTTTCCTTATAGGAGAATCAGGCTATTGTACTAAAATTCTAAGTTGAAATAAGACTGGATGAGCAAGGGCCTTTGTATTTATTGAAAGGAAGGACGAGGGAGAAACCTGCATTTTTCTTCTCGCAAGAAAATGAGAAAGTGCAACTAAAGAAATGTCATTATCCTTCCCCCACAGACATGGAATGGACTACTTTTCCTTACTTCCCCCACCCACCCGCCCACACTCACACACTTTTTTTTGCTCTCCTCTCTGAAGGAAAGTGGTAGAAGGCAGGATGGAGATTTGAAGAGGCAGTTGTTAAGGTGGGTGGTACCATCCCTGTAAATGTTCCCGAAAGGTCTGCTTCTTGATTCTTTAAGGAAATAAAGAGATCATGAGCAATAGGAATTCCTTGATGCCACAGAACTATGACATCCCGGGGTTGGGTGGGGGAGGTCTCTTGTCTCCTGGGAGAGCCCCAGTTATGTTTGGGGTGGTTAGCTGAAGGGTAGGTGATTAGTTTTCTTGACGAATTACCTTCTTGAATCCCAGGAAAGTGTTTCAGGTGATGATTTGGTCTTTTCTCAACTCTCTGGAAACCACTGCTTAGACTGAAGTCTATGCTGGGAGAACTCCTGGGCTATTTTAGAGGTGCTGCGATTTAAAGGTGAGAACAGGCCAGGGAGACACTCGGCTGTAGACAAGTCCTGTGTTCGCTGCTTCCATCCCAAGGTCAGCATCTGTCTAGCTTAAGAATTGTAATGCTTGGCAGGCAGCTACGGAATACTGCATGAAGCCTAGGTTTTCTTATGGCCCAGAAAGGGATGGCTGCAGGTAAAATCGCAGCACTTGCTTGATTCTTTCCAAAGACCCTGAAGTCAGTCATTGGCTCATGACGGGAGCACGTGAGCATTCATCGGATGGGCATATGGCTGGGGCCAGGGATGAGAGAGGCACCTGGCAGCAGAGCCTGGTGCTCAGAGGAGGCGAGCTGGGCACTTGACACCCCAGACTTCACTCCTGTTGCCAAGCCTCAGCTCTTCGATTGCCCTCCTGAAATCTGTCAAATGTGACCCTGCAGTGTTTTGAGTTGCTCCCTGGGAAACTGACTCTCCTGTTGCTCACATGCAAAGAGGAAGCGAGAGGAGCTGCACAGTGAGGCTTGGCAGATGAGCTCCTGTCGCAGC